GTAATTACTTGTAAAGTACCATTTTTCCTTGAAAACATTTTTGAATAAAAATATGTCAAAATAAATTCTCTCTCTCTCTCTCTCTCTCTCTCTCTCTCTCCCCTTTTCTCCTCTCTGGTTTCTATAAAATTCTATTATATATTACTAGTTGTTTATAGTTATAAGCTTTATATTATATTACAAAAAATCAACACATTACTTATAAAACGCTCGATACTAAAAAAAATGCGTGATATAGCATAAAAAATACCTTTTTAAAGAAAGGTAAAAAAAGATCGCCAATTAAGTGTTCGCGCTCGTTGGAATAGCTATTGTACGAAACTATGGCCGGTATTAATAATCAGAATCGGATTTATATTAAAGACCGTCTTAAGTACAATTTGCAATCTTAAGATATCATTCACAGAGCAGTGTATCAGCATCTTAAGACAATACTTAGAGACGGTCTTGAAATAATATCCGACTATGAATACCGGTGTATGATTAATAAGCAGTTTACACGTCACTATCCGGATTTAACTAGTTATAAATACTGACGTAAGATGTCGTATAAACGTTATTGATTCCGTTTTACCATAATTAAGTAACTTTTTATAACAACTAGGCTGTTACAGTTACGTTATTGTGCATTATTTCTTTTACGACGCAGTGTTTCAGACGAAGGTAACTTCTAAAATCGCAACAGCAAGATTTACTTGTACCACAACTTTAATAGCGTAAGTTGTTGTAATTGTAATACAATAATCATAGCAAAGTAATAACTTTAGAAATTAAAAAACTTCGCTTCAACGTTTGCACTTGTATCTAAGAGTAAATTTCCAGTAAACAATCTGTTCGCAATATGACATAGATTGGCAGCAGATTTCGCTCAGACATCGCAACAGATCCGATATCATCTGTGTCCGCATTAAACTCGTGCTTTGCCGACAGAACCTGCCGATATAATCTGACGGCAGATTGTCGGCAGAAACCGAGCACAATCTGTTCACTATTTAAACAATATTTAAATGGAATACATCATTTAAATGGTAGATTTTGTTCACTTTCTGTGATCAATCTGCCATTATATTCTGTTAGAAAAATCTGTTACATTTCTGCTGGCATTCTGTCGGCAACATTTGCGGCAGATATTTTCAAAATCTGTTCTGGATAGATTCTGTTTAACATCAAAATTAAATAAAAATATTACTTTTATAACATAAAAATAACATTGATTCATACAATATTATGACAGTCGCGAATGATCTTTTTTACCTCTACTTTATTCTTCATTCAACAAAAAGCTCCCTTGATAACAGTGTAAACTAAAATAATAAATTATTTTATTCATTCTATTTTCGACAAAATGCATAAAAAAGGTAATGTTTGTTTTCTGATGCAGATAGTTACCATTGACTCTTCGTCAGAGAAACAGCTAGAGATTGAAAAAATATTTAACATCGCATTATGAACAGTAACGACGAGGTATACAAAACAAATTCTATTCCTTTCGTACTTGTAATAATTATTTCGTACTTACACTGTATAATAAACTCAGTTTTTTGTAAGAAATAAAAATAATAAATTAACTATATCCCTTTTCAAGAGAGAAACAAGAGCTTGCTATTTCCTCATAAAAAGGAATTATAAAAAAAACTTTCCTCACAATAATGTTACATAATTGTTCGCAAAATTTACACCTTTCGTGGAAATAATTTTACATAAAAACATGTCAAGTTCTCTATCTATCCAAATATCCTCTATCTAATTTTATAAAACTTCTGTAGAAAAAGTTCAATGTGTAAAAATTAAAAATAAACACTAAATTTTACTCATAATCTCTCTTGTTTTAACTGTTTTACATAATATACAAATAATATTCTAACGCATTAACAATAATTAAAGTACAGAATTACATAATTACAAGCATATAATTGAAAATATATCATTTGATGAAAAAAGGATTAATGTAATTAATATATATTTGTATATCAACCGATACTAAATGTTCTTATTAAAAAATTGTCTTTTTCAGACAATCGTGATAAAAACATACAATGTGTTGCTTCTTCTAGCAGAGTTATTATTTCTTATTTTGAAAGTTGTATATTATATTTGTGAAGATATGTACAGATTGATCGTACCAACGAAGAAAAAGAGCGTAGCTGGTGAAATTGTTTTGGTACGTATAAAATTCTTAATATGGTTACTGTTATACAATGTATGTATAAAAAATCATACAAAGAGATAAATTATTTTTATTATGTGAGAAAATTATCGAAAGTTATACTGTTATATTATAAAATTACACGTAATATACACATACACACATAATTTTGATGAACCAATCGGAGCAATTGACATTTATATTTCACAACAAATTGTGCGCGATCGAACTGTGCACAATTAAACTGTGCGCAACCGTAATTATTTGTTTAAAAGTATGTAAATCGTAATTTCTAATAATTATAATTTAAACTATATTTTATGTACTATATATTATCACAGATAACAGGTGCAGGTCATGGTATCGGAAAGGAATTAGCGATTGGCTATGCATCGTTAGGAGCAACAGTGGTATGTTGGGATATCAATGAAGAAACAAACAACGAGACAATGAACGACATTAAAAGAATGGGGAGGGACTCTGTATATGCGTATCGGTAAATTGCAGCTATTTTTTTTTACAAAATTCGATGGAGTGAAAAAGCTACTCCACTAGAATTTACACGTGTGCGAATATCTGTAAAACGCCTATTAAATAATAACTTCTGTTGAGTTTTATAGGTGTAATGTAGCAGATAGGGAAGAAGTCTTCCGGGTAGCCGAGAAAGTAAAGAAAGAAGTAGGTGACGTTACAATCTTGGTCAACAATGCAGGCATAGTGTTTATTAAATCATTCATGAATCAGAGTCTCGATGAAATTGCTCAAGTTATAGACGTGAATGTGACAGCGCATTATTGGGCAAGTAATGTACTTGATTGTAAGATGTTAAAGTTGCAAGATGTACTACATGACTTAGACGAGCATAGAGAATTAGGCTTTCGCAAATCGTTGCTCACAAATAAACATTATTTTCAGACATTGAAAGCATTCCTACCAAATATGATCGAAAAGAATCACGGTCATGTTGTTGCACTGTCATCAATAGCAGGACTTTTCGGCGGTTCTTATGGCACGGTTTACTGCCCTTCAAAATTCGCAGTTAAAGGTAACTCATCCCTTATTTAATGATTATAATATTACATATTGTACATGATAATATTATACAAACAAATATATACACATATACATATATGTATATAACATAGGTTGCGATTAATCGTAATAATCGCAAACTACATTTATATACATAATTCAGTTTTAATTTAAAAAATTATTATAAATATGTAAATACTCACAAGATAATTATTTATATATATATATATATATATATATATATATATATAATGTTATTTCATTATATTACAGTTTTTCACTGAATGACTATAACTAAATATATGTATATTACATATGAAACACATTATTTTAGTGCACGCCAATAGTGTAAAAAATGTTAATGTATTTATACTTTTCTAATGTTTTAATATACGTTTCGGCATGCAGCAATTATGGAATCTATGTCTGAGGAACTACGTGAACTGAGTAACGGAAAATGCTCTATTAATTTTACTACTGTTTATTTGACCTTCGTGCGTACCGGATTGGTTAAAAAAAATATTAAAATTAGGTAACTATACAATAATACATCACGGCAACAAATGTTTTATAATATCACGCAAACTATTTCTTTTATAAGTTGCCAAATTCGACAAAAAGTTTTTACTTCAATCATACCGCATTTTTTAATAGATTTTTTTTTATACCGACAACAATAATGTTATTTGATAAACAAAATATTTATAGCGGTTGTTAGTGGTAAATGATTCAATTTTATTTATCCATATAGATTTCCACGATTAATGAGAGAACTTCAACCGCAGGAAGCGGCTTCGTCAATAATTGATGCGCAAAGACGAAATTATAGAAATAAAAGCATACCGTCATTTTGGTTGCCCATGTCTAAAATAGGAAGGTATGTAAACAACGCAAAAAAATTTAATTATAATATATACAATGTATTTTTAAATATGTGACTATAAACCGCAGGACACAAGTCATTGTAAATATATTGATAATATTGAATACTTTTGTACTAAGATTATTATTTTTATATCTATGATAAAAATATAATTTTTTTTCAAACATTTTCCCGACATTTGTTATTTATACGTTTATGATAAAATTATCATTATTATTTCAGACATTTACCGGACAAAGCATTAGAGTGCATAAGAGACTTCGCCGATTTTGGTGCGTACGAAGAAGATTAAGAAATATATAAGATATTTACTTATGAAAATATTTTATCCAAAAAAATAAGTCAGAATGTGATAATGCATTTTGCAATTACCATTATTTTACATTCGTATGGAATTAAAATATAGACAGAATTTTATAAAATTTTGATTTCAGGATTGCCCGGAAATTAATAAATTAGTATAACAGAGTTTATAATATCTCTGATGTTGAAATAGTATTATCTGATTAATACGTATAAGAATTGTAGTTGAATTTCATCAAACTTTCAAAGATTTGTAGAAAAAGGACACTTATGATAAAACTATGTAATCCTGTTGAAAGTTTTTTATATAAAATATATTAAAACATTTTTTATAGCATGTAGATATATAAAATATTGTAAAATGTATAAGTAAAATATAATGTATAATTATCATTTAAAGCAATGAAAAAATAATTATTGTTATCATTTATAATCATAATATAATATATAGATAAAATATACATATCACAAACATTTGGTTTGCAAATGTATAAATTATATTATTATTATTGTTCTTATTTAAAGCACCGCGATAACAAATTTATATGAACGTATTCTAATGTTCTAAAAGTCCTGTTATAAAATGTCACTGGAAATTACATCAAGATTATCGTATCCCCTTAATCCTACTTTTGCACCAGCAATACGGCAACCAATTTTGATAGCCTTTTGAAGAACTGTTTCAGTAATAAATTTCAGTCTATCATATCCCAAACTTTCCGGATCTAAATTTTCCTCAATATCTCGTTTAACTGCAGTGCCATTATCGGAGACATTATCCTCTGTTTGATTGGTATCACTCGTGGAAGCTGCCTCTTCTTTATATTTGCGCATAAACTCAATTTTGCTTTTGTTCAAATAATATATAACAGCTGCATTGAATGTATCACCCGCACCTAAAGTGTCGATTACTTTTTCTGGTGGGAAAGCTGGCGATTGTACTATTGTGCCACACGGTGCACGAGCGATCGCACCTTCTTCTGCCCAAGCACAAATAATGGCATTTCTAAAAGGACAATATGAGTTACCTCTCATATAACAAAATGTCATGTTGACACATTTTTTTTGTATAAATATCGAAGCCTAATTAGCCTAATTATTCCTTACTTGATGTCTTGATCGATGTTGTGTATTACTTCGCTCATATTATTAAAACCCAGATTCTTAACGAAATCTTTTGATACAAATGCCACGTCAACGTACGGCAATAGATCCATTAATTCTAAACTGGGATTTTCGAATTCTGCGCTAATCGTAATTGGCATGCGATCAGACGTACTATTTAATGATTTATTATAGCTCTGTATATATTGAATAACAAGTAGCACTACATCTGTATTCCTTCCCTAAAACCAGGAAATATTTCAATTATCTTGTCACAGTTGTGAATTATTTCCTGCATCACGAGACATACCTCAAAATGAATCCAACTATATTCCTCTAAATTAAGTTGTTCGAAAATTTCTAGTGTCAAATCGGGTAAGCCTTGATTGTGATATACAATTGTGCGTGATCCATTGCTTGAATTCAATATGATAGTCGCGACAGGACATCCACTGCCTTTTATCATAGGGCAATGGGAATAGTCAATTTTATATTTTCGCAGATCATTTTGCATAAAACTAACATTTGCATCTGCGCTCAAGCAAGCCAGTAACTCACACGGCTGTCCTATTAATGATAGCACGGTGCAAGTATTGGACGCATTGCCCCCCCTTTGCCATCTGTAATCGGTGGATCTAGAAAGTTATGTTTACAACAAGAGATTATATCCAGATTAGAGAATGTCTAAATTAAAATTATAAACTCGCAAATATTTTCACAAACGTAAATTACTTTAAATAATTTCAGGAGAAAAAGAGTAAATTTATTTTCGAAAAATCTCGTGAGATTTTGATAAAAAATTAATATCATTGATTTCAATTAAGTAAAATGAAAGATAACGCTGAAAAATATTTAATATTCTCGGAGGAATAAAAGGACCTCGAATTATACATCCTCTCATAATATTTTCTAATCTTGTTATTATTTTTTATGTAAATATCCACCAAATCATAAAACAGGCATGTAATATGTACAGAGATATATAATACGGTCAAAGTTCAAGAAGGCTGTTGATTAGCGTCTTTCTGATAACAAGATTATTGACAATTAAATTTCATCTCTTATATATAATTAGCTAAACTTTATTCATATTCTTATGCTCTCATCTTTCGTAAAAAGTAAAATTTAAGCACTTTCTTGTTATATAGGCTGAAAGATTTTCAATTCGCAGTTCGTGAAAAAATTAAATAGTTACTATTATAACAGTAACTAAAAATAAAATTGCAAACGAGACATAAATTTTCAATATTTCTAACAAAATATGAATGCTCGGTTATGCGTACCTAGATTATATATTCATTGTATACATGTAGATGTAGATTATTATATTTTACGCGTAAACGTCCAACCCTGGACGTTTAAATATCGCCGTATATCGATAACTAAGGTTGAAAAGGACGCGACCAATAGCGTCATCGCGTGCTCACGGGGCAAATTTATTTGAATTGACCGCGAGCAAATCGACGACGTGACGTCAGACGTCACTGACCTTTGAGTGGAATCCTCCGAAGGATATTGCACGCACGTTTGAATGATGTCGAGACAGATGCGTCCCACGCATAGAATCTTGAGCGTGCGGGCCTCCGTCGCCGATGTCCCGCTGATGACCTTATCGAAATTCGACGTCATCGTCCGCGGTCCAGATGTCTCCCTTAAATTCACGCTGGGACTCCTACGCGTGGAGATCTCTCGTCTTCCTTTTCTTTTTTTACCGAACAGCCGTCCTTATCGCGAGAAGTTATTTTTAAACGTAAATATTACATCTAACAATAAGATCAACGGACTGCGATGTCTGCGACGGATCACTGCAACTTGCAACACTTGCAAAGAATGCAAAGCGAATGAATGAATCTGCGCTTGTGGCGCCCTCTGAAATTAGCCATAGGCAATTCTTTTTTATCTAGGAGCCAGGAGCTATCCATACAGAAATCGAACATACATACTCCGAATGTACATACTCCGATGCTTCCGATACGCTGGCAACTTTTCACGCGTTTAAGCATTTTATCGTTCAGCATGCACGAACGGCATCGAAAATATATATTATATTCTTAATACATACATATACACACGTGTAAAATCGTAAGGTGGCAAAGGCAACGTTCAAATTCGTGCGCCACGAATCGCGGGGGGAAGGGGGAACCATCGTTGCCGTCGTGACACGTGACATGGACACGTGACACGTGACGTGCTCACGTGATAGTCAAAATGCCAAGATGGCGACGAGACCGATCTCGTAGCGCATCGCAGAACACTTGTCGTTGATACCTTTAAATCACGATATTCGTACCGGGCTACCGCGGGATATTATACATCCGAGCGAGGCGGGATTCGGCTTATTTGTCGCAGCTTAAAAATATCGCGTCGTCACGGGGTTAGGCGGGGGGGCGAGGCCCTATGCGACACACGTGGAATACATTCGCGCTGAACGTATAATTCCGCGTTAGATTTCGCACGCTCGCGGGAGAATCGCCGTGCGATCGCCGCTTTAAGTTTTATTTAATACAGACACGATGGATCCACGCTTGCATAGAAGATCCGAGGCGGAAAAGACGCCGCGCGATTTGGTCAGTGGCGTTAACCTCGAAATTGCCGCGCGCCCACTTAGCGATCTTGCCGCGTTGCACGGAGACGCTTTTATGTCGAGGGAAAAGAACAATTTACTTTCGCGGTCCATACCTTTTTGTCAAAAAGCTGTCGCCGCTTTCGGCGGCAAATTTTGTAGAAGCGTGGTTTGCATACGAATTGTTTTCCCCGTCGCTCGCGGATATCGATAGCAATTTGTTATTAATTTGTAAATGTATAATGCTTCGCAAGAAGGAATTATTTTGATAATTTAATCATAATTGTAGTGAAACGAGATATTTATTATACGAGAATTGTCATGAGCCAAAAATATTGTTTGTAAAATTAACGGTGTTTTAATCAGTCATAAAAATTTCATGTCGTTATATTCGAGTATTATCATAATAATTGTGGAAAGTTCTATATTATGGGATAATATAATTTTTTTTTAATATTTTCTATTTTCTCTTACAGATCGTTGAGTGGTTAAACGAGGCTTCTATGGGCCTCACTGAGGAAATTAAGGTCACAAACATATGCAAAGTACAGGAACTTTTGTTGAACAAGGAGCCACATTTGTTAGAACATTATTTAGACGACATTCTACAATTCTCGGTAGATAGAAGCGCTGAGGTCAGAAAGACCGTTACAGGATTTATCGAAGAAGCTGGGTTATTGTCAACGATTATCTCTTTTTACCATGCAGTCTTGTTTGTAGAAATAAATATTTAATATTTCTCATAACTGATTCTTTCAGAATAAAGTATCCAGAAGTAATCCCTCGTACAGTTCAAATACTTCTTAGATTAGCGTCCGACGAATCGTCGGCTGTAGCTAAACGAACGCTTAGAGCCAGTGGCAGAATTCTCAGGGCTGCTCTCAAGTGGATCGCTAGTGCTGCTATCGTTACCACAGACATGGAATTGGCATGGACACAGCTGTGCGCCCTTAAAGTTCAAATTATAAATATGATTGACAGCGATAACGATGGGTGAGCAGGATGATCGAGAGTAATCATAGATAATCTTTTCATCGGTCACGGATCTAACACTGTCAAAATATTCTATATTTCAGAATAAGGACGCAAGCCGTAAAGTTTCTTGAAGGCGTAATTTTAATACAGACATATCCAGATCCGGACAGCCCAAAGAAACCCGATGACTTCTCTCTCGAAGATATTCCGCTAACATTGAAAATAGCTCGTAGACGGAAATTAGAGGAAGAGGCAAATCACGTTATGGATTTGCTGATTAAGTTTCATGGGTCACCGCATGTCAGCAGCGTTAATTTAATGACGTGTATGGGATCTTTGGCGTTAATCGCTAAAATGAGACCACAATTTATGCCAAATGTAATTCAAGGTATATGTTTACTTACTATACATTGTACAGTAATTTTTTACCATTTTGCAAGATTTGATAATTCGTGTCGTATATTGCACAGCCTTACAAAGGTTACAACATGATCTACCACCAACGCTGTCCGATTCTCAAGTAACCAGTGTACAAAAACAATTGAAACTCACACTTCTCGGATTGATGAAACACCCTGCTAGTATAGAGTATGCTTCAACCATAGCTAAGCAGTTGGCTCAGCTTGGAGCGAAAGAGCAGGAAATTATTAAAGCTTATCCAAAACCGGAAGACGTCCGTCGGATGAAAAAGCGTCAACAGGTATATTTGTAAATTTCTAAAAATTTATTTTTTGCTGTACATGTCCTTAAAGATTCGTTTGTGTGTGCAAAGGAGATGGCCGCTGCTAGTGCTGCGAAACGAGTAAAAATTGAAGTGGCTTTAGTACCCGATGAAGCTGAAGCGGCACCAAGCCCTGTTCCCGCGCCTAAATTGCCAGAATTGATTGAACTTTCCGAAAGTTTTATTGCTGAAAGACTCAGTGTAGAAATTGCAACAGATTTAGTGATGGATAGTATGGTACAATCACAAATTGTATATTAATTTATATCATAAAGCAAACTTTGAATTATTAATGTGCATTATTGAACAATTGCATTTGACAGGCATGGGTTCCGGACACTATGACGACAATTTTTCAAAGGGAATATCAACCCACGGCAACTACTGATATTAATATACAACGTCAAACGATTGCTAAACTTCTAGCAGCACAAATCAAACAAACGAAAGCAAAAAAGAGCAAAAAAGACAAGGAAGAGGATGCCGTGATGGAAGATCTAATTAAGAATCCCACCATTAGCGTAGCCGAGGCAAAGCGGGAGCGTAAACGTGAAAAGGATCGGGAGAAAGAGAAAGAGGCGAAAGCGTCATTAGAAGCTCATGAAAAATCTCTTGCAAAAGCCAGAACTCGTTTGAAGGCGTTAAAATTGGTTGAAGTGACAAAACCACTTCCGAAGGAAACTAAAGAACGAATGTTACTGATGGCAGTCAATAGGATATTGCTTTCAGAAAAGACTGCAGTGCTTGGTGGTGTAGCTGCTGTAAGGTATACGAAGCATAAATTATACGTGTTAAAGTATTATACGTGTTTTAATACATTATATTTATCTTTAATAATCTATCTCTTTATTCTGTATTACAGATCCAAAATTCTGACTACGCTAGCAGCTACTTTCAATCCTTATATTAAAGAAGCTGTACTGCGTTATATTACCGATGACATGCGAAATCGATTAGATTTAGCGTTAGGTTGGCTATATGAAGAGTATGCGTTGCTACAGGGATTTCAAAGGCGAACTACGTTATGTACAAAACCACAAGAAGCTCCACATCAGGCATATAATTTCTTATTGTGCACTTTAGTGTCAGCTATTGATTTGATTCAGGGTAAAGATCGTGATACTTTACTATCCAGGTAATATTAAATTTAAAGACAATAATGGATTTTAAAAACATATACATCTATGTCAATTTGACTTTGAAAAAAATATATATATTTTTTCATATAAAAGACTTTATCTGGAAGCACCATTAATAACAGAAGATGCTGTAGAGGCTTTAAAAATGGTGTCATCTGATGAAACTAGAGGTCTTGCACCATTGCAGCTTCTGAAAGAAATGGTAGTGCGTAGACCGACGAAACAACTGGTATTTTTAAATGTTTTATTATGCCACACTGGACATGAAAACAATACGGTAAGATTCAAAATCATGTGATATATGATGCATTTGAAATACATATTGATACTATATAAGGTAAAATTTTAATACATTTTAATAAATAGATACGGGAAGCTGCAATACAATTAGTCTGTCAGTTATATGGCCGAGCAGAATTAAGTAAACTGATCGAGGAATATGCAGTTCTGTATTTAGGCTTTTTACGTCTTCACAACCCACCGGAGATTGTTTTCGGGCAAGATAGAGGCAGACCGCAAATCGAGAGTCAGTGGACCGACTCAACTACACGTGCCTGCCTAGGATTATATCTTTCTCTTCTCACTGAACATCAAGATCTCATTCACGAGTGAGTGATAAAACCTTTGTCAATTATTAGATGTTATTTGTGCGAAAGTGCTGTGTGCATTCTCATAATTGCTTGATAATTATCAGATTAGCTAGAGTATATACGTCAATGGGAGCAGATGTGAAACGTATTGTACTAAGACTAGTGGAAGGACCAGTGAGATCTCTGGGTATGGGTAGCCCGCAACTGCTCGCGCTTGTTGAAAATTGTCCAAAAGGATCTGAAACTTTAGTCACGAGAATCATACACATCCTTACAGAGAAGTGTATGTTATTATTGCTTGAAAATATGTATTTTTATCGATCTGTGTTTTTCTCTTGTTTTATATTATTTTATTTATGTATGCAGCTGCCCCAAGTGCAGAGTTGGTGGCCAGGGTACGCGAATTGTATCAGACTAGAGTTTCCGACGTCAGGTTTTTAATACCAGTTCTGAACGGACTGACAAAGAAAGAAGTAATTGCCGCATTGCCAAAATTAATCAAATTAAATCCTATCGTCGTGAAAGAGGTAAATTAATAATGCGTTTAAAATATTATTTTATTTGCTATCTCAAGCGCGATTAAAGTATAAGAAATCTGTTCTTTTCAGGTGTTTAACAGGTTGCTCGGAACACATAATAACGACAGCGGGGTACCTCATACATCGCCTATTACACCTGCGGAATTATTGATAGCTCTACATAATATAGATCCAAGCAAGGCTGAATTAAAGACCGTCATTAAAGGTAGATTGTTCTGTGTGAAACATTGAAATGTATTATACTTGAGGGAAATCTTGCCAACATACATTTAACGGATATTTTTTCTTTCGTTTGCAGCCACATCTCTTTGTTTTGCTGAGAAACAAGCGTATACGCAGGAAACGGTCGCTGTTGTGATGCAACATCTTATGGAGATGACACCTTTACCGACATTATTGATGCGCACAGTCATACAAAGTCTGGCCCTTTATCCCAGGCTAAGCGGATTTGTCATGAACATACTTCAACGTCTAATTTTGAAGCAAGTGTGGAAGCAGCCGAAAGTGTGGGAAGGTTTCGTCAAGTGCTGCGAACGTACGCAGCCGCAAAGTTTCGCTGTTATTTTGCAATTACCACCGGCACAGTTAGCAGAGGCACTCCGAATGGCAAGCAATTTACGTGCTCCCTTACTAGCTCATGTTGAAGCTTTTGCCGAGAATCAGGTAATTTTGTAACATTTTAAAGCATATTTTTACTACACATTTTGTATCGAATATGACAAAAGTTCTCATTATATTATTGATATAAAATAAGCGCGGTTTCTATTATTAAATAACTGAATATTAAAATAAAATTGTTAAGTAGAGCACGATGCAAGATATAGTAAAATTTTGGGTGATATTAATACTTTAAAGATTTAATATTGTATTTTTTTTGTTTCAGAAAGCACACATTCCGCAATCAATAATGGATGTCATACAGGGTAAAGTGCCCTGTGACATGCACGATGAGTTTGATATTGTGAGTAAAGATGCCTGTATATAAAGGAACGATTTTTTGAGCCATATCTTTATAATATAATTCTTTAAAATAAATACGCGGTATTTTCTCGAAAAATATCTCTTCCGTCAATTTCTTTCAGGCACCACCTGGTGATTATTCGAATGATCAAAAACCAGATACAATGGAAATTGATCTTTCGGAACCAGCCCCTCCCGGTTTAGATTAGTATAAAAAGTCATTCCAGTGTTAAGATCAGAACCATCGTTTACCGGATATTTTAATATTAATAAATCCGCATTATAATTGTACAGTAAATTATTCCTTTTTTTTACGTTGCTATAAGCGACATTTAGTTACATGTTACGTTGACGACAGTCCATATTTATACTCCATTTAGCGCTAAGTATGGAATTTATTTGCTAATATTTGACGCTAAATGGGTGAGTCAAAAAAAATAAAATTATACACGATTTTATTTAAAAAATAACAAGATTTAGAGACAGCAATAATTGAGACAATTTTTCGATATATATTCTTTTCTATAATTAGTTTGGCACCGTATACTGACCATTATTAGTCTTATAAATCAATTTTATTTTCTAATCTTCAATATAATCTAAACATTCATTTTGATATCTAACATAATAGAATATATAGATGCTATCTGACTTCTCATATTTAATTAGTATATCTATAATAGTACCGAGATACTATCAATAATCTAATACTTAAAAAAAAATTGAAAAAAAAAATGAAAAAATTGTAACTTTTTTTATGAATAATCTTAATTTCAATTAGATTCTAATTTTTATTTACATATGTTGTACATATGAGGAGATCAGTTGTAATATACTAATTATGTAAGTCAGGTAAAGTACAATTTAACTTATCTGTCAAATCTATATTTTATATAAAATGCATAAAGTTTTAAATACAAGAAAAAATGAGATTGGATATATAATCTCAATTATATGAATTAGTAGAAAACAATTTTTTTCTTTTAAAAGTGTACTCGCGAACGATCATTTTGGTGTGCATTTCTTTCTTGCTTGCTGGCTCACGTGTTGTCATAAATTAAAGCTTTGTTTTATAATAAGTATCTGTTTGAAAATCACTTGCGTTGTGGTTATTACAAAAATATGATTTAATCATTAATTGGAATAGAGGAACAGTACATTATTTTAATAACATTACATTTGATTTCGTTATGTATAAAGTTATGACTAAATTACAAACTATTCTCAACATTACATATATGTATTACTGTTGGTGCACATAGACTAAATTACAAATCAGTCTCAACATTATATGTATGTATATATCATACATATGTTAAATGTTAAAATAATTATGCTTAAGTTTAAAAAGTATAATATATGTAAAGTAGAATTGAGTGCACTTAATATCATATTACCGTATGAAAGTAATGAACAAATCTTTTCCATGACAAAACGTATATAATCTGCAAGTGTATAAAAACTAATAAAATATTTTTTGTTACATAAATTCTGACATTTGTTGCGTTCTCTCTCTTAAGAAGTAAGTAAAATATACATTATACAAAACTATTTTATATGAACATGAAAAATATCGGTAGGAAATATGTCCTGCTGAGAAATTATGCAGCAAGAATTTCAAGATTGATGACCCATTAAAGAGTGAAACTATCGTATTATTTTACTTCGAGAATACTCAAATGCAATCTTGATTTCCGTATAGCAGATAATAAAACATATGTATATATCTATACCTATAATTATAAAATATATAGATTTATACGTAACATTATGCAAAGTCAACTCCGGTGTCCAACAAATCACGTAACATAAAGGATGCTTTTTTGGGGAGAATCCTGAAAATGTAAGAAACTTGTTAGATCACTCCTCTATTACCTAACGTACGAATAAAGATATAAATGGCGAAAATACCTAAGTACATGCGCGAGATAAAGCAAATATCCCGGCACACTGAACTCCGCATAGTTTCGGCGAACGCCGTCTAAAATTTGTCTAGCAGCTTCTGCGGCAGGCATCGTACCAAAGTAACTCGGTATTCTGCAAATTTTTCAGAAATTAGAATTAGATCACTGTCGCCAATGGTAATTGCATAATAATAAAAACATGAAAAAAAAAATAAATGTACAATTTACAAAAACTGGTGGTCACCTAAAACGTATATCTTTCGCAACTTCTGTCCCAACGATAAATGGATAAACGTGAACTAGTGAAACGATAATGTTGCTATTTGAATGTCTTAATTCCATATGCAAGGATTCTGCTAATCCCTGCACCGCGAATTGCGCGGTGGATAAGGGAACTCGGGTTCCTCGATCACTCGACCCATTGGAGAGACCGGCGACGGACGACAGAATCGTGATGTGGCCTTTACCGGCATGTCGCATACACGGCAAAACTGAATCCAACAACTATGAAAGAAAAGATTACCGACGATTACAGACACTGATTACCGATATTTTTATCTCAAGATATATATCGGAAACACGCTCACCCAAAAGTGACTGATGACTGACACGTCCATGGTGTCTCTTACTTCCGATGATTCTTGTACTAATGCACGTGGACTAGGCAAACCGCAACAATGGAAGAGCATCGTAATGTTTCCCAATTCATTTTTAACAAGATTTACAGTCCGAGCGACCTAATATCGACAACACACGTAGGACATGAAATAATTTACAATTAAGTGGCTTGAGAACAAGGATACAGATATTTTGTACATACCGTATCTTTACTCCTCACATCGCACTGATAGCTTCTACATACTCCATGCAACTGTTGGGCGCGTTGCACAGTGGCAGCGCAAGTTTCCGCGTTAATATCCACGCAAGCAACCGCGACGCCAAGTTGGCACAGCTGTAGAGCGAGTTCCTTACCTATCCCACGTCCGGCGCCTACGACCTAAAAATCATGACGTGCATTTGTAACGTGCAAAAGTTTACACTGGCAAGAATTTAAGTAGGCAAGACAGCGTTAGTCACTATGTAAAGAAATGTGATAGGACCAAGGATTGCTTTATAAAGTTAGATAGAAATAAGGGAGAAATATTAATAGGATAGAATATAGAATGATGAACTGGATAGTGTAAAAGAGAGTGTGTTGAGAGAAAGAAATTATTAGAATAAGAAAGAATAGATAATAGGTAGTATTAAGTACGATGGTTGCATGGATGGTATGAGCATGTTAAGTAAATATTGTAAACCATATCCACTTCTTGCCATGTAAGCTGAAGTTAATAAATTGTATACAAGTATAAGGCAGGACAGCGTTACCATGGCCACTTCGTAGTTTAAACTCTTCAAGGGTGGTGGCCTGAACATCCTATAGACAGCTATCAGGATCGTGCAACATATTCCAACAAAGAGTGTCACGAGGTCCAGGGCCAGGATGCACAGCGAGTATATTCGTAACAGCATCTTTGGCGGCCGGATACTTCCTAGCTTGCCCTGCAAAAACAGTTATTGCATAACAGAGCCGAGAACGTCTTGTTGCACAAGAATCACTTGAGGAAGATGATAATAGAGATCTCCTGGTGGAAATTCATCTATGATTTCGTGCCGACAGTGCAGATTGCTTTACGTACCATCCTCTCGGAATTATTTACCGCTAGAAATCGCGAGCGCGACGCGAATTTGAACGAGCTGAAAGAACTTGCGACGGCGTGTAAGTATACTGAAGTGTCTGAAGTATACCTTGTATCACGTTCACGTTCGTGAACTTTGTCCGGCCGGCTGGGACGCGGTCGAACGGTCGAACTCGCATTAACGTTATCTGAAATCTCAATAAGTCGAGCACGGAACGCGCTACGATTTTGCTCAATTGGGCTGGCTAAAATCAACAATCACAACTGTGATCGAGCCCGACCCCATAGCCGATTAGACCACGTCTAATCAGTGTCTAACGCCTTCCGAGCTTCTCGCCCGGTTGGTACGGCCCTCTGAGGAAGCTTCGGCAAAGTGCGGCGTCTAATTGTCCTACAATTATCATGTGAATTCATCACCGCGACTTCGCGCGGAAGACTCTTCCCCTGCGATACCGATCTGTTTTTTTTTTTTGCGACTTTTCGGCGCGACAATGATAAGAACGAGAAGCGTCGCTGATATAGTCACCGAGATAAGATGTTCGAAGAACATTGCTTCCCTCGATTTATCTATTTTCGAGTACGCTCTCTGAGAATTCATCGATGAAATCCGCGAGTCTTGTAGGTGCAGCCCTCTGAAGTAACGTTTACGAGCCGCACGACGCGATCTTGCATGCCAACCGATGTTGAAACTGATGGAGTAAACTGGACTGAAATATATCATCTCGCAATCTCGCTATTATACGTTCTTTCCATCACGCCAGCATATTTTCTTTTACCACCAATTTTCTATCATAAGAAAAAAACGGCGAAATCATGCGTGAATAATGTCCAAATAGCTCGCAAAACTTCAATCTGTAAATGTGTTAATTATAATCTTATTAGCAATTGATTATTACTCCTTATTTTTAGAAAACCCCTTCTAGATTTTTAATTCTTCTATTATCATGTGATTTTTTATACTTTGTTGCACTTAAAACGAGGTAGGCATGTGATTAGACGTGGAGAGAAAAAGAGGGGAAGATGCTGACGTCAGGGCCGGAACACAATACCACGAGGGCCACAAGGCATTGGAGGCACGAGATCGCTCCCGGCGCGGCAGTCCCGGTTTGTCGATGCGGAACGTTAGATGTAAGTTTTCTCGGTCTTTTTTTCCTTCGCTTATTTCGTTCGTGTTAATATAAAATATATCAGGCGAGCGGCAGGTAGTGTTTTCCACACAGGGAAAAATAGCGTCGCTAAGAATAACAGTTCAAACTCATTCTTACATATTTTTTTGCTCGCTAATACACCACGTGCTCGTCGACATTGTATTCGCGTGTAGTATACCTACCGCACACACACATTAGTGCAGTTTTATTCGGTAAACGAACTGTCCGCAGTGTCCACTGTATGTCAGCAAACTCGATCGGAAATCTCTGGAAAATTAGCGTCAATTGTGTCTATATGACGCTTCTTGCCACGTGCGCCTCACGTCACGTGGCCTTACGCATGAATCCGCCATGATCCCACGTTGAACTTTCCATTCAGGCTATTTGACATCTTCGTGTAACATCATAAAATATTTCATAAAAATCATTACCATACGATATTTTATAAGAATATTTCATGATTATGTATTAATGTTTAAATATTATGTAATGTATAGTTACCATTGTCGTGGAAACATTGTTACACCTTTTTCTCAAGTATTATTTTCTATAATAATAAATTTATAGTTTTGTGAATATATGTTGTAAGCAAAATTATTAGTTTCGACGATATGAGGCGACCCACGCAGCCTGTACCGAAAGTTCAATGTAGGACAGGTGAGGGTTAAGTATTTTGCCAACGTAATCTGACTATTGCCAGACGCAAACGCAGATTCTACTCAATTTTTGCTGCCACTCTGCGTCAAATAGTATAACAAGTATGTCAGTTTGTTTGATTTTTGCCATTATATTTGGTGAAAAACTTTGCTATATATCTGCCAGCGTGTATTACCATAACAATATCATATATGTCAGATTCTGTTTCAAATCTGTGGTTATTCTGCTGACAAAATTTGTAGCAAAGACTTCACAAGAATCTGTTCCTGACAAGCTATACCTGGCTGTCTAGACATGTTTGTTAAAATAAGAGAATCCGATATTACCTATGTATGCTGGATATTGAATTAAATACTAATTAAACGATAATGTATTTATTGTTCATATCGTTTGTTAAGTATACATTGAGTAAAATTGTTGACAAATTGTTATTTCATTTAAATTTAAGCATCTATTGATATTTATTTCTTCTTTACAGGTTTATAATGGCATCTTTAAAAAAAAAAATTAAGAAAGTGATTGAACGCATCAAACACTACGTGATTCCTCAAAGTTGTTTGCCACCCAGTTCACCAATAAAGTCTCACTTATCTT